TGCTCTTCCGATCTTTTATCTCACATAATATTTGGTGTACAATAAAATTTAAATGTAAATTTATTTTTCGTAATCATTATTTATCCAATGCTGCATCTGGCCATATAAACGGTAAATATATAATTTTATAATTATGTATCTTCAAGTAATTGCACATTTGATTACTAATAAACTAGTAATAAACAATAATGCAAAAAATGTATCACTAAGCAAAATGTAAATGTTGGAAAAGATTGATATTTATATAAAATATATTATATTATAAATACTTTTTATTATAATAATATTAGATCTTGTTTCCTCATGATATTTCTACATGAATCCTAAATTCATTATTCAGCCTCTTTAAACTGCGCACCGAATTAATATCTGACTTGCAAAGCACTCATAAGCTGAAGCTAAAATAGTAAGAATTAAATTGATCTTTTGAAATGTTTAACAGTTTTAAGATGCGGACAAGCTGCGAAGAAATGTTGAAATGCGGACAAGCTGCGAAGAAATTATGAAAAATATTACCTCAACCAGGATTTGAACTTGGAACCGACTTTCTCGACTTCCTCAATTGTTAAATGACTTGTAGCGCTAGGTATAGGGAGACGAGCACTCGTACACGGATTTAGAACGTATATATGTAACACTTTATTTAACTTTGTGCAGTGCGTGCGACTCGAACGAAATTACGAAGGTAAGGCAGCGAACAACCGAACAACGTCTCAAAAAGGCGGGCTTCTTCCCAGAGAGAGAGAGGACAAACGACTGCCTAATGTGGCGCTGTCCTGGCTAGCTTCTTATTGGCTGGCGAATTTGTCCAGAAGGCAGGGTTGCCACATCACCCCCCTGCTGAGCTATCTGGCTACAGGTCGTAAACCTTACACTTTTTAGTGTTCTAGGGTTCGGTAATGCAGGGCTCGGACGAAATGGGGTATCTCCGGGAACATCTGCCGTCGGTATGTTCTCGAGGTACGCCGGTTTCAGTCTGTCTGTTGAAATTGTGACTGACTCTCCCCTAACATTGATCTTCAACACCTTGTCGGAGATTCGTTCCTGAATCTCGTAGAGCCCTTCGTAAGGTCGGTCAAGAGGTTTCCTAGCTGCGTCGACTCGTACGAACACATGCGAACAAGAATGTAAGTCTTTTAGTATAAAGGCTTTTGACTTACTGTGATGCGCCGATGGGGACGGTCGGACTCTGCGCATGTGCTGTCGTAGCTGTTCCACGAATATGTGCGGCCCAGTCGGGGAATCCTCGTCCACGAAGAATTCACCCGAAAGTCGGATTGGCGTTCCGTAGACCAATTCTGCGGCGCTGGTTTGTATGTCTTCTTTTAGACTAGTGCGAAGACCAAGGAGGACCATTGGCAGAGCGTCGACCCATTCTACGTCTACATGGCATCGGATGGCTGACTTCAGCGAACGATGAAACCGTTCTAGCATACCGTTAGAGGCGGGGTGGTAGGCTGTGGTTCTGATCCTCTCGGCACCTATAAGACGAACCAATGCTTGGAATAACATTGATTCGAATTGGGATCCACGGTCTGTGGTGATTACGGCTGGCGCGCCGAAACGTGCTACCCAAGAGGTGTAGAAAGTCATTGCGATGGTGTCCGCTGAAATGTCGGTGATGGGGATCGCCTCAGGCCATCGCGTGTAACGGTCGATGGCGGTGAGACAATATCTGTAGCCCCTGGATGGAGGAAGTGGTCCGAGATGCACTTGGTAAAATCGGGAATCAGGAATCCTAATGTGCTCCGGAACATTCTTGTTGTGGCGTTGAATCTTGGCGCGCTGGCAAGGGAGGCACGTTTTCACTTAATCAGAAATGTCTTTGTTCATCCTTGGCCATACGAATCTTCGCGCGATGAGCTTAGTAGTAGCTCGGACTCCGGGGTGAGATAGACTATGCGCTACTTTAATGACTGTCTTGCGCAGGGAACTAGGTACATATGGTCGCACGTCGTCTTGGGAGACGTCGCAGTATACTACGCGATCCGTGTCGTCCAAGCGAAGCTTCCGCAGTTTCAGGCTGGTATCGGAGTTTAATAGCGTTTCGAGCTCTTCGTCGGTGCTTTGCTTTTGTGCTAACTCATCCGTCGTAACAACAACTGGCATGTCGATGGCGTGGATGCGGGATAACGCATCGGCTGCAACGTTGTTGGCTCCTGGCAGATAGGTAATTTGGGTTGTAAACTGACCGATCAAGTCCAAGTGTCGCAGTCGTCGTGGTGTCGCCTTACTTGACTTCTGATCGAATGCATAGACTAGCGGTTTATGGTCAGTCGCCACCGAGCATTCGTGACCTTCAAGTAAATGTCGAAAATATTTTACGGCGCTATAAATGGCAAGCAACTCACGGTCATAGGCGCTGTATGTCCGTTGAGTGTCTGAGAGCTTTTTGGAGTAAAATCCTAGCGGCGTCCATTTTCTGTTCTGCAATTGCTGCAGTGTGGCACCCATCGCCGTGTCGGAGGCATCGGTACAGAGAAGCAG